GTGCAGAAGGTGAAAATTGTCAGTATAAAACTGTATAAAGCCCCTGGTATTCTTAGATTCTCCGCGTGAAGAATTTCCCCTGTATCAGCAATCTGGAGATCGACATGAGATTCTGCGTTACCCGATCGCCCCGGGGTTGCTGACTTCCTTGATGACCTGGGTGTCTTTTTACGTCTCACAGGTGGCATTCTCACTGTGAAGCACGGCTACGCTAATTTCAACTCGAGTAACACGCCTGGAGAGGCAGGATGGTTACGATTAAAAACTGCTTGTCATTGTTTACAACTGATAACAATGGCTGCTGACCTGTACCCACTGCGCATGCGTGGGAGGAAGGCTTGTAAGCTTCCTGAGAGGAAACTCATGTCTGCGCATGCTCCTGTCAAACTTCCTTCCTGTCAAAACAAATTGTTACAACTACAATGGGTGTGGCTGTTGTAGGCACAAGCCGTTGTCTAAGCAATAAACTGGAAAGGTTAAGAGTGCATTTGGGAAGGGATTTATGTAGCTGGTACAAGCTAGGTCAGCATGACCTGCATAAATATGTACGTAGCACCACCTTGTCGTACTCAGTGTCACCAATGTGTGATGAGCAAATTGTTGCTAACCGCAGCATAGCACACATATACCAACAAATTAAACATAAGTAAAGTAATACATGCAAGTAGCAAGAATAATACATGGTTGTTTTATTGTCGTTATAAATGTGCTCATAGTACCGAAGAGCTATAAATTAAAGCACAGGGGAGTACATATGCTGGGTTGGTAGATGATCTCTTTTAACATCTGACTCGCTTGAAAGGCATTTCTTAGAAGGTGACAAATGACAAATTAAACAAAAATTATTTTTTATGGATAACAATTTCTTTATAATACTGTAATTGTGATGTTTTGGTATAGATTTGTATACCATTGTCAAGCATGACTGACTAATGAACATGGTAGAAATTGAATTCTAATTAACATGAAGCCATAAAAACAGAAAACATTTGCTTGATGATTTCCTGGTAGATGGATGTGATGACATAGCCTAGATCTCTGTTGATAGAAGGCTGGTGGTGGTGACTCTTGGATGTTTTCACAATTGATGTTGGGATTGGGCCAGTTGCTGATATGGTCTGAGACAGCTGATTTACTGTCTGATTTGATGGTTGAAGTTTTGAGCTCTGTGATTCTGGTGTTGATGGGGCGGGATGTTTCACCTACATAGGAATCTCCACAGTTAGTCACTTTTGTAAACAACACCTATGGGTTGTTGCAGTTTAGTGGTGTTTCTGCAGCTGGTTCTCAGTAGGGTAGCTAGGCTTCCTCATCATGTGTTCTCTGTACATCATGTTGTTACGGTTGTTACTTCTGTTGCTATTAGTTAACCTACTCATGATAATCCTATGACAATTGTCATTACTGTTATTCCTTCACATACCATAAATAATTCTGTACTATCTTTATAAGTCAGTCCTGCTTGACAACAGTATAAGAATCTATCTTGAAATGTCACAATTACAGTATGATAAAGAAGTTGTTATCCATAAAAACATTTTTGTCTACTTTGGCTTGTTTATTTCTTTGGATTTCAATAGTTTCTATATTTTTCTTTTTGGACTGAGCATATAATGTGAAACGCTGCTTTCAATAGTAGAGGTATGATTCACAAACACTACAACTTATGATTATCCCGGGCAAAGCAGTTAGCAATTACCGGTAGATGGTTGGTCATACCACAAAAACCACATCTTGGTTTGAACGGCCTTGTCCATTCAGAAAAAGAAGACTGACCAGTCTTGTAAGGACTTGAATTAGCCACAACAGTTTTTCTACCACTATTTCCTGTAAATCCTGATTTGTAATGACTGTGAAAGTAACCTGATTTACCCTCTTGTTTGCTGACATTTATGAATAGACTTATGAACAAAGACATAATTGATAGCAGTAATCGATGCATCTTGTAATGTGACAATCCTCAGGTTCTCCAAATGCATCATAAGACTAGTAAGTATACAACTGTTCACCTCTTCAAAATGAACCATCTCTCTCAACTTGGAATAGTTCTTACCCAAATCTGCCCTTGACCACTTGTCAAACAAACTTTCCTTCCAAATTTCAAACTTACAGTAATTTTCAGAATCTCACATTTTCAGATATCTAGCTTGCTGCTGGTAGTTTCATACATTGTACATGATACAAATAAAGTTAATAAATAAGGTAATAAAATATAATAGCATTGCAATGTTCTCAATATTAAACCATAAATACATTGTCACATGAACCAAAACATTCAATAGTTTAACAATCTAAATGCCACTTAATTTGTGGTGTCTAATAATCAATGTAAACAAACCTTAAACCTATGAATACACAATTCCATTTAGAAAGTGGTCAAAGGTAACATGTTATTTTTGGGATTTTTTGGGACTTTCTTAGTAAAGTACAGATTCCTGTACTTTTTTTGGTTCAGTCCCATCCGGGATTCGAACCCACTTTGCCACAGAGAGGCAACTAATTGCCAGCACACAAAGTCAGTGATCTAACCCACTCAGCCACTGAAGCTTCAACAAAATGAAAGTCCGACAACTGGTTTGTTTGTTTTGTTTGTTTGTTGTTTTACGCCCCACTCAGCAATATTCCAGCTGTATGACAGCGGCCTGTAAATAATCGAATCTGGACCAGACAATCCAGTGATTAATATCATGAGCATCGATCCACGCAATTTGGATCAATGACATGCATCAACCAAGTCAGCGAGCCTGACCACCCGATCCCGTTAGTCGCCTTTTACGACTAGCATATTCACCTTTTACGGCAAGCATGGGTTGCTGAAGACCTATTCTACCCCGGAATCTTCACGGGTCCTGACAACTGGTAGCCTTGAGATCACATACTTTGTGTACCCCTCTGACAAGTGTAAATTGGCACAGCACCAAAGACCGAAAGCTATGAATACATAATGACATTTAGAAAGTGGTGAAATGTAACAAATGGTATATTTGGGATAACACTTTCTAAGTAAAGTACAAATTCTTGTACTTTTTTGTACAAGAAAAAAAGTATGTGATCTAGACTACTAGTTGTCAGACTTTCATTTTGTGGAAGCCTCGGTGGCTGAGTGGGTTAGATCACTGTGTGCTGGCGATTAGGTGCCTCACTCTGGCAGCGTGGGCTCGGATCCTGGATGGGACTCAACCCCCAAAATAACATTGTCGACACCACTTGATTACCTCTGCATTCAATGAGTCTTGACAGCACCCTAATTACCTAGGGCCAATCACTTAAAACAATAAATGTCACCCACCACCTAGTTAGTGTCAAAGCATACACATCCTAAAGTTCCAAATAGTTCAAAACCTTAAATCTTAATCCCTAATATGGTTGGTCCCCACACCCTAAGCTTGTTTTGATTGGTCTACCAATGATATTATATGTATACATGTAGTATAAATATCAGTGTGGGAAGAAGTGTCTACGCAATAAACAATACTTTAAACAAAACACTTAACGATAAGCTAAATGCAATCCAGTATCAAGACTTGATACCACTGGTACACCACTTATGGCACTACAGCTAGGCTCTAACAGGCGAAATTCTCCTGAATTTACCCCGTGGACAATTAACTATAAATGTCTGGACCTCAACCTAGTCAAACACCTAAGTCTAAGAAATAGGTTCTTAAATGCAACAAGGCTGAGGTAAACTCCTGTTGTACAGTCATTGGCCAGCAATGCTGTTTGCGACCAATCAAGGCATTCCTACAATATTTGCAATTGGGGCATCATAATTCATGGCGGAGCATACAATACGCAGCTCAAGAGCACTCAAGTAGGAAACAGCCTGACTTGCCTTACCCTTAAACTTGCTCTGCACCAATATATGGCACATAGTTTAGGCCAGTTTAACTCTCTCAGTTGAACTAATGCAGCGTGAGATGCATCTTACAGGCGAATATTCACAAGTTAGCAACAATGATAGTAACTAGTCAGTACAGATATATATATAACTGACTTGATCTTAATACACGTAGGTTATTGTATCTACTAAGCCACGACACAGTCTAAAAAGGTTAACAAACTTTGGCTTAAACCATCTGTTTTAAGCAGCTTCTGTCTTCACAGTTCGACACAGAGTCTAGCCTTTGGTCTTGTATCAGGGACACCAATGCGGCAAAGGAACAAAGTTCGGGAATTTTCCTCAAGAGGAAATACAGCAAAAGCTATACACAGATGTATGAATGGGAAACGTCCACTCGGGCAGTAGTGCATCTCAAGCAGCCTCCAAGGCTATTAAGTGTGTTTGTTAACTTTAATCCTATGCTACGGATTAGCATTTAGAATAACATGAGTAATAAGATCATCAAGATAAGGTACAGTGTTTGCACATGTTTTCTGTAGAATAAAGACCCAAATGGTAACACCTGAAAGGTAACTAAAAACCAAAGGGAATTATATATTTAACATACACAAGCAATAAATATACAAGGGGCGGTCCTTTAATCAGGACCTCATCACTGCAATCATGATGGATATCTCAGTTTGTCCCTTCTAATGCCAGGTATGCATGTCCAACTAGGACTATGTAGTTTGATGAACATGATTTCGGGATGTCTATTGTGCGGACATGAAACAGCAGATGTGATGCTAAATTTTAAATCACTCACTTGCTTTTCTCTTCAGATGCAGTTGCAATACAGTCTGACACATTTAATTTTTAATTCATTCTCTCAGTTTTATGGGTAACAAAAGCCAAAGAAATTTATTTTGATAAAAAATGTAAATGTTAAGTATATCTTATACTGTACAAAGAAAATGAATAACATGTCCACACATTACCGGTAATAAAATCAATTTTTGTAAATATCTACATTCACTTTCTCTGTATTTTTTCAGCGCAAGAAAATATCTATCAACAGTTTGTATGTTATGTTAATCAGATGAATTTTAATGTTGCTTTACTCAAAATATTTGCACCAATGCGCTTTGCTTAAAACTATTACTGCATCATATACAAGGTTCCAACTCCTGGAGGTCTGGTGGAATGTATTCAGTCAGCATTAGTGGACTCTGAAGTAACACTGATCTTGGAACCAGGACGCTCTCTTGTTGGCAACACAGCAATCTTAGCAACCACCGTTCTTGGAACCAAAGGAAACCAAACTAAACGGTAATTACAGATACTCGTACAGTCTGCTCTGGGTAGAATGAACTTGGAGAAATCTATTATATTAAGTAAGGATAAGAATTTATGGATGAACAACTTCTTTATTACAATTAAGAGCGATGTGTCCGTCTAGGTTCTAACACCATTATCAAGCAAGTGATAACTGTGTTAGAACCTACACCGAAAAGTCGCTCTTAATTGTAATAAAGAAGTTGTTCATCCATAAATTCTTATCCTTACTTAGTACTCCAACTTCTTAATGTCTATCAAAGAAGTTATCTATTATATTGCAGTGACAATTCAAATCCTGAGCACTGGTATGCATCTGTATTGTTCTTGTGAATTTGGGGCGGGGGATATAGGAACAGAATTTGTCCATCCGTCCATCCGTCTGTCCATCTGCATCTCAATAGGGACACATTTTCTCAAAATATTTTAAAGTTCAGAAATAAAATTTTACACACTGATATTATTGGTCATGATCTCAAATGAGTAGAAAATTGGGGCTTTAATAATTCATTTTTTACAGAGTTATGGCGCTTGCTCAATGCCTTTCAACTTAGTGCCTAGTGTTTGAAATGGGGGCAAGTTTTCTCAGAAACTACTGAAGTGACAAGAATGAAAGTTTGCTTGCTTATCTAAGACATACGTGTCTAGATTGACTTAAAGAATTGTGCGCGAAAATGAAGCAGTAAAAACAGTGCGCCAAAACGCACCCAAACAAACATTCAATGGATATGAAAATGTTGTGTTTCACATGCAAAAGGCACTTAACATGTTACATGACTGTGGTTTTGAGTTGAGTTGTGCAAAAGTTGTCAGGTGGCAACATGTGCTCTTCGTTTAGTCCCAAGATGGGGACTTAGAATAGAAATGTTGTTATTAAACAACATAGTAACAGAGTTCACATATAGAAGTGAATTTATCCACAAGAAGTGGATACAAATTGTTCATTATAGAAAATAGTGTAATTGATTAGATACATTAAAAGTTTGAACTTGTTTCAATAGTTTTTTGTTTTGAATTTAGGGGTTATCTTCACTCCATTTAATGGTAGCAGAGCGTGGTTTGTTTAATGCAAAATGGTTTCAGTTGCTTTTCAACTGTACTAGAATAGGAAACAGTTGAGTTTGAATGTCAACATTTACTTTAGTTGAAAATTATTATTGCAGCAGTTGCTCTTTCTCAAGTTATGTTGGAACAAAAGTCAATCACTTCCCAAAAAGGAAGCGATAAAATGGACTCTTCAAATGAAGGAAACGAAGAATTAGAACAGCTTATTCGTAGCCTTAAACAGCAAAATCAAAAGCTAAATTTGTGTTTACAAAGGGAAGAAATAAGCTGAATACTCTAGTCGAACAAGATATGTCAACACGAAAAGCAGTAAGAGAAGACTTTGATGAAGTGAGTTCTCTTCAGGTGAAAGTCATGGATATCATGGTAAAACTTACACAGGCTTACACAGAAGTTCATGACATAGAGAATGTGAACAAGGTTGACGCTGAAATATCAAAACTTGAATGTGAAACTTCTGAAGTGATAGACAAAGCAAAGGAGTACTTAGATAGTGGTTCAAGTACTTGTTCTCTGTCCAGCCATAGATTGTACAGGTTGTTCAAAGGTGATAAAAAGCCTGATCTTCATAGAGGTCAAACTGTAGTTGTGGGACAAAGACATGACCTCAATGAAAATAGCAAGGCAACAAGTGGTGTGAAAGGAGGTCATACCAAAAATAAACAGAAATATAATCCTAAAAACGATTATTCTGTGAAACAGACAGTAGCATATGGAAATGAAGGAAACATGGGGATGGGGGGCTTGTGTGACACTGATGATGATCAGCATGGGTTTCCTAATCACAATGAAGGTAGGTTTGAAAACACAGAAAAGCAAAACATCGCTGTTGGTAATGATATGTGGAAACAACTAAAACATGTTTCAATACCAGTGTTTTATGGAGATGTCAAGACATATGAGAGTTGGAATGCCGCCTTCATGACATGTATAGATCAGTCTCCTGCAACTTCTGTATACAAACTCCTCCAGTTGCGACAGTATCTTTCAGGTGAAGCATTGAAAGTGGTTGAAAGTTTAGGCCATGGTGCTGTTGCCTATGATGTTGCATTAGACAGGTTAGAGAGAAAATATGGGGGAAGACGGCGTCAAATAGCCATTCATATGGAAGAGTTGAGTAACTTCAAACCTATTTGTGAAGGTGTTGCCAGAGATGTTGAATGGTTTGCAGACATTTTAGATGTTGCAGTTGTCAATTTGAAAGAAAATGATAGATTTGAAGAGTTTGGAAATGGGTTGTTCTACTCTAGCCTACTTAAAAAGATGACAGAACCAATGGTTGCACGATATTAGAGGTGCGTTTCTGAAACGGAGAGACAGGAGTCTGTTGAAGCTTTGCGAACATGGGTTATACAGGAAGGAGAGTTCCTTACCATTGCTTCAGAGACAATTCATGGTGTTGTAAAAAAAAAGGTAAGTCAGATGAAAAGAAAACGTTGTCTTGTATCTTTGTTACCACAAAGACAGAATCCAGTAACACATTCAGCAGTAAAATAGAAGCTGCAGTCTTTGTAAAGAGAACATCCATGAAATGTGGAGATGTAATGTAGAGGTATGGATATTTCTGAAAGATGGGATGATGCGAAGAAAGCAAATCTTTGCTTCAGGTGTCTTGGTAGAAATCATAGTGGTAAAACATGTAAACGTATGGCACAATCCACAATAGATTGTTGCACAATGACAAAGACGGTATGTACAATATGCGTGACAAAAGATTAAACAGTTCTAACAGGTTAGAAGGTGAATGTACTGAGACTGGAAATGACACTAAAGAGATTCAAAAGGGTGAAGGTGAAAGGTCTCATGCCATTTTACCTAGTGTGGTACAAAAGGCTGTAATAGCACTTCGAACTGTACCAGTGATACTTTCAAATAGCAACAAACATGTCACTGTGAATGCATTATTGGATGATGCTAGTACAAGGTTGTACATCAACGCAGATGTAGCAGCAGAATTGGGTCTGTAAAGGCAGTTACAGAGAATATCTGTGAATGTATTGAATGGGAAAATGGAAACTTTCGAGACTAAACCTGTAGAGTTTAGACTTCAAAGTATTGATGGCGTTGTAACTACAAATCTTACAGCATTGACAACAACAAAGGTCACGGGAAATATGAAGGTCACTGATTGGAAAAGTACAAAAACAATTGGTGTCATTTGCAAAACACTGAATTTCCAAACACAGGGCAAAGTCCATCTGTTGATCTGTTGATAGGCATAGACCACTTAGATCTGCATTGCTCTTATGAAGAGGTTCAAGGAAACCCAGGAGAGCCAATTGCAAGGAGGACACCTCTGGGATGGACATGTATTGGGAATATTGAACATCCAGGGAAAAATCCTCACACAGTGTTTGCAGATGCATACTTCACAAACGAAGTTGATGTTGAACTCAATACAATGTACCTTGATGTGCAAGTTTTTGGATGTAGAAGATTACACTCCAGAGCTCTTGTTAACGCCTGATGATAGGAATGCTCTTGCTAAAGTGCAGGATACATTGTTGTATGAAAATGAACGTTATCAAGTTGGCATTCCTTGGAAAGATTATGTCCAAAATCTTGACTTATTGGACGTCTTACTTCGCTTTAGAAAGCATCCAGTTTCACTTGTTTGTGATATTGAGGCAATGTACATGCAAATCAAAATACCAGAATGTGACAGATCATACCACAGGTTCCTTTGGAGATCTTTGAAATTGAATACCTGAAATTGATGTATATGAATTTAGTCATGTAGCACCGCTAAAAGCTGTGAGCATACCTCGATTGGAATTGATGGCTGCCATAGTTGGTCTGGGGTTAGTTTTGACTGGCACATGCACTGAACTTTGAAATCCAAACTGTTAAGTTCTGGTCAGACAGTTTGAATGTCCTATGCTGGATAAAATTCAACAGTAGATCGTTCAAAGCATTTGTAGCCAACAGGGTTTGGGAAATACAGTCTGTTACTAAACCATCTAAGTGGAACCATGTTCCCTCTGAAATGAACCCAGCTGACATGTCTCTGCATCAGAACTGGCAAACAACAAGTTCTGGTGGTCAGGTCCTGAATTCCTAGAAAAAGAAGAAACAGAATGGCCAGTGCAAAAAAGATCATGGTACAATAATGACAAATCAAGTGACAAAACAGAACAGCTACAGTGATTCTACATGGACATCTTCCTCTAACAAAAAGACATTTATAGAAACATTTCTCAAAATGGTGGCAAAATACACCAGGATCTGTGTCTGAGTGGGGAATTCATTTTAAACTGTGGCATATTGTATCTCAGTGTGCTAGCACTCTCAATCGGCATCAGGCAGGCATGCAGGCAGCTATATAAGTGTAATAATCTTGGATGTGACGTTAAACTCAATTTTACCTCACCTCAAATGAGTACGTCTCAAAAAGTGTTTCCCATATGTTTGCTGAACCATTGTGAGCACACCAGGCAAGTTTCTAATTATTAATCAGAATTTTTTTAATTTGTTAGACTTCGTTTTCCTAAGGAATAAACAAATTTGACTTCGGTTCTAATGAGGGTTTCATTTTGCAGAGCGTAACTCTTAAACTATTAATTGTATCAAGTTGAAACTTTGTAAGCACATTTAAGAATTGAACGTCAGTTTGGATGGGTTCATTGAAGTGTGAGTGAGTGAGTGAATATGGTTTAACGCCGCTTTTAGCAATATTCCAGCAATATCACGGCGGGGGACACCAGAAATGGGCTTCACACATTGTACCCATGTCGGGAATCGAACCCGGGTCTTCGGCGAGACGAGCTAACGCTTTAACCACTAGGCTACCCGACCACCCCCATTGAAGTGTGAATGATTTAAAAGCCCTGGTTAAAAAGTGAGTTAACCTCCGAGCTTGCAATTCTCTGAACAAATTAACAAACAATATTTGGGATAAATCAAATCTTAAAAATAGGTTACAGGAAAGTGAACAAAAATATAAACATGACCTCGACACACCGAGGCGAGGTCAACCTTCAAGCGTGGATTTATATATGACGTCACATAAGTTTGCAAAGAGGTGCATTTCGAGTCGAATGGGAGCATGAGGATGAAATTTATTCTTACTACTGTTAAAAATGAAGTTTATGGAGCAGTTATGGAAAACACCCCGACGCGTGAACCCTCTCATGGCCCTATCAAATTGGGAATATCACCGATTTATGAATGTGTTGCTTGTGTTTGGATAATTTCAAACCAATTCGGACGATGTGGAATGGACTGGTGGGGATTGAACGGAGTGCTCTGAAACTTGTGTGTTTTGTGTTAATTTTCAATGTCAGGGTGTGTATATTTGGAGTTTTGGATTTGTTGTGTGTGCTGTAATACTTTGCTTAGCTGGTGTTTCTTGTCCCCTGAGATGAACCTACTGTATGACCTGATGCCAGCTTCATTTCTGTGCCCCGTCATTCCTCATGTGCTGCCGCTTCTTGGCCTAGAATGCATGGAGTAGGTCGGCCAACTCAGAAACCAGAATAATAAATAAAAATAGTTATTTTATCCGATGACCAATCACTAAAACTGGTAGGCAGTTTTTTTGTGTTTGTTTCTTTTTTAAATTGAAGTTTCTTTCCTTACCTTTTTATGTTTTATGGTTTCTCAAAATCTTAGATTTTTTTTCTCGATATGATAGTGAATCGGGTTTTAGTTTGGGATTAATCAGGAGCAGTCACTTTGATTCATGTCAGCGGCCACATCTGAGCAGGGTACAACATTGTTTTCATTGGTGCTAGATTCCTGTCATTTCCGAAAACAAGGCATCAAAGTCAGTATCGCTCAATAAATCAATTTTGTTCACCTCAGTAATTTTACAGAAATCATTTTCTTCACGTGTGTTATTAGTATTGAAAGATCGCCATTCCATATTCATATCAACATGAGGACAATCCATTTTTTTTCATCTAGCAGCTAGACGACATTAACTCTTTCATCCCTGGCTGCCCCAGAGTTATGTCCCTTGAAACCCTGCAGTCCCTGACACTGACAAGGCCTGCACACTGACCTCCCTGGCAGTATTATTGGAAAATCACACTATAATTTTTGATGCACTTTTTCTACCAGAAACTTGCTTTTAATATACATTTTTCATATACCATTGTAAAGAGGATTAAGTATACTGTAATATTCTTTGTTGTTATTGTCTCTAACCTTTGTTATTTTCTAATTACAGGTGTTTACAAGTGAAATAAAACTTGAAAAAAAATGAAAACAGACAATGAATTTTGGCTCAAATTGTATTAAAAATCACAAAAATAAATCACAGATACAAGGTAAACATTACACAGTGGTCTTGTCATCTCGAACGGCACAGGTAATCCCAGGTGTTACAGGTAAATTCTCTTCATGCACATCTGTAAACAAATAAACAATTTTACAACTCTTGGTACTGACTTTGTTTTCTATACTGATGTCACATATTACTTATGATACACTTACAGCCTCTTAGGTAAACTCGTTAACACAGGTAAACTTGTTAACGCAGGTAAACTCGTTAACACAGGTAAAAACACAAATATTTGATTTATTTTGTTCTTTTTCAGGATTTGAAACAAAAACTTAGTTTTTAAGTTTTTAAATAGTAATTTATCACATTACCTGAACATTGAACCACAGCTACTATAAGAATGACATCACAGAGAAGATATCACAGATTGATCTGAAAGGAGGGAAAGATTGTAAAAGGACGGAAAGATCGTAAATTCAAGTTCTGCAAATATACAAGTTGTGATAACATATTTACAATACACTGCTATTTACAATTGCATAATAAATTAAATCAGTACTTTATTACATCAATTAATAAATAAATAATTATTACAGTTACTAAAATTTAAATTAAGATGTAAAAAACAAGAAAACAAACATGAATATGGAAATCAATTTTATTCAAATTGAGCGAAATATAAGGACATACGACAAACCGGCAAACTACAATTCGGATTGTGATCAGAAAATCAAATTTTAAAAAAAAGAAAGAGATACGTCATGCAACTCACCTTTGTTGTTGTTGTGATAGCTCGTTCACCTGTAGGCTGCATTCTCATTCGTCGCACTGATAATCTGTTCAAACACAGAATCATTGTAAAACAGTTGGAAAAAATCAATAGCACGATAATACACTCACCGTGTCAATACATATTCTTGAGTCCGGTCGCCTCTTCAAAATCCCTCATGTCTCCACCGTTGTGGTCCCGCTGCCACTCCCATTCTTGAAAGTTGGCAGGGGGGGGGACACCTCGTCAAAACCGTCAAAATCTTCACCAAAATCTTCGCGAAATTCCCTCTCCCCTTCGCGTAAATTATTCAAATCAAACACATTAAAATTCCAGATAGAGTCGTTGTTAGTCATCTGATCGCTATCCGAATCGTAGTTGGCCGCCATTACGCTAGATTTACGATTCAAGCGAGAAAAATACCTGTCGCGAAAACAGGTGACATATCCGCGATTTTCGCGCCAAAAAGACTGGGAAATCCCATCGAATGACATGTCATTACGTGTAGATCTCGTTTCCATATTTAGAACGAGATTACACACAAGAAAGGAAGTAGAAAGAGCGATTTTGTAAACACGGTCGTGCCGCCCGATTTATCGGGCAGCCGTGTGTGGGGCTTGGACAGTAGCCGCCCGATTTTTCGGGCAGCCGGGTACTGGGACACGGTTTATGCTGCCTGGGCAGTCGGGGCGAAAGGGTTAAACACCAGAACCAAAGCATATACTTATTTTCAAGTCAGATCAAATGTTATGGCAAAAATACTAAATTAATTATATTCCTGATAAATGCAGAGATTAAATAGAAAAAGTACATATATGTACATATGCCTCGCCTGTTGTCCTGGTTCGCAAACATGACTCGAATCTGCGCTTCTGTATTGATTCTCGAAAATTAAATAGTCGCACAATTCGAGATTCATATGCTCTACCAAGGATAGAGGAAACTCTTGATGCTTACTATGGGGCAAAATACTTCTCGTGTCTTGACCTTAAGAGTGGATAATGGCAACTGGAAGTGGACGAGGAGCACAAGGCCCATACTGCCTTTACTGTCGGCCCACTTGGGTTTTATGAGTGTAACTCTATGCCCTTTGGACTGACAAATGCTCCTGCTACTTTCCAACGCCTGATGGAGAGACGATGGGCGACATTCATCTTCTCCAATGCCTCATCTATCTCGATGACATCATTGTGTTTTCTAAGACCTTTGATGATCATCTTGAGAGATTACAAGCAATCTTTGAAAGATTGCACAAGAACGGGCTCAAGCTAAAGCCATCAAAATGCCAATTCTTGCAGACCTCTGTTAAGTACCTAGGTCACGCAATTTTCGAGGAGGGTATCAAAACAGACCCTGGGAAGATTGAAGTATTGAAAACCTTGCCAATTCCACCTAATGTCGAAGATGTTCGATGTTTTCTTGGATTCTCCGGCTTCTTTAGACGTTTTGTACCAAACTTTGCTAAAGTTGCCAAGCCACTAGCCAGTTTGCTTGCTGGTCATGGCGTGACATCCAAGTGAAAGATCAAGTCCAACCAACCATTTGTATGGGGGGATGCTCAACAGTCAGCTTTCAGTGAGCGCGATTACCCTGCTCATAAGCTAGAGTTTTTGGCTCTAAAATCGGCTGTCACCAAAAAGTTTCATGACTACTTGTATGCAACTCATTAACTGTAAAGACTGACAATAATACCCTCACTTTTGTCCTTATTTCCGCTAAGTTGGATGCAACTGGGCATCGCTGACTTGCAGAACATGCTACTTATGTCTCTCCATTGAGTATGTTCCGGGTGCAAGGAATGTTGATGCAGATGCTTTGTCCAGGTTGCCACGTGAGTCCATGGACATACAAACTGTGTCTGCTCTCTGTAACAGGCAACTTATCTCATCATGTGCCGTGGAGACGCTCTCCCTCTATCATGAGGTGATGAATTGTATGTTGGCAGTCGATGGTATGGAACCTTCCAACTTTGTTGCTGGCCAACAGATGAGAACATATCAGCAAGCTGATTCCTCAATCTGTTCAATTTTGGACCTCATCCGTTATGATATGCGTCCAACCAAGGAGGCTCTCAAATCCATTGACCAGGAACCTGCACTTGGATCAAGGCCGGAACTGAGAGAGTGGTATCATCAAACAGCTGTGTAGCATATAGGGTATTCTCAAAAAGCGGACCACTCCGTATCATCCGATGGGTAATGGTTTGTGTGAGCGGTTTAATCGGAAGCTCTTAGGGAAAGGCAAAAGGCCAAGTGGAAAGATCACCTTTCTCACTTAGTACATGCCTATAACTGTTCCCTCCATGAGTCAACAGGGTTCACTCCCTATTTCCTCATGTTTGGCAGACAACGTAGGCTGCCTGTTGATGCTGCTTTTGGTACATCACTGGCCAATATTTCATCACCAGCTTATACGCAGTTTGCTGCTGATCTAGAGCACAAATTACACACTGCATATGAGCTTGCAGCTGCAAACCTTGAAAGGGCTCGGGCTAAACAGCGCAAAGCCTATAATCTTAAGGCACGTGGAGCCACAATCAAGGTTAGTGATGTTGTATTGGTGCGTAACGTCAAAATACGTGGGAAGCAAAAACTGGCTAACCGGTGGGAAGAGGATTATTACATGGTTGATTCTCAACCTCATGCCGACATTCCTGTGTTTAAAGTTTGTAAGGAAGAAACCAGAGAATGTCGTGTACTCCACCGTAATCTACTCCTTCCCATTGGTACGAATGGTCAGCCCATACCCAGGCCACGGTGCACACCATAGACTACTACTACTACTACTTCTGTCTCAACACCATCTTCTGGCGAGCTTAAGGACACAAGTACCGACACAACACTGGAGATCTCAACAACCAACATGGATATTGAGAGTTCTCCTTCTCCAGTGTCGGTATTATCCCCAGTGTTGGAATTGCCACCAATCAGCCCGCCATTTGCAAGTTTGTCACCAGTAGCTACACCATCCACACAAGCACAAACTGCACCAAACAGTTCTATCCCTGGCTTAGGACCGTCAACTCCACAGCAACTACTTCGGCAAGTTGGACGAACCCGAACAAAGCCATAGTGGATGATGGATGGGCAGTTTGTTGTAAAACAAAGTGTCTGGGTGTGAGGGTGTAATTATACGCTCCCACTATTTATTGGCGAGGACGCCATTTCCCAAAGGGGGGGTGTATGTAGCCGGGTGGTGGTGCTAACTCTGAATGAGTTAGCCACATAGGTACCACCCTCTCTCGTATTCATTATACATGTATATATACTGAGTCAAATTAAAAACTTCACATTTTTAAAAGTAATCCCATATATGATATACAACGGACAAATGTATCACAGAAGGTAATGTTGAATCATTAAAGTCCAAAGAAGGATTTTAATTAACGGTGGTAACCATAATTTGTTCCAAGCACCTACGGTATTCGGTAATAACATCAACAGTTTAAATCATAAGTCCCAAGCACGAGAATCTGATGCTTGTGAACACATGATTGGGAAGACGCCGCCATTGTTGCTGCAAAATGGTGCCAAGATCTTGCAAATTCTGTGGTTGGTTCTGGAGAGAGCGCAGACTTCTGCCAAGAGCATCCCAGACGTGTTCGATGGGATTGAGGTCGGGAGACCTTGACAGCCAGTCCATGACGTTGACTCCCGCATTCTGAAGGACATTCCTTGTCAAAATTGCTGTGTGGGGTCTGGCATTGTCGTGTTGGAAGATCAAACCAGGTCCATGTCCTGCCATAAAAGGCAGAAGTTCTGGTGCCAGTACCTGGTCGCAGTAAGCAGCAGCGTTGAGGTTGCCACGAATGACAAGAAGCCTGGAACGTGCATTGCCAAAGAAAGCACCCCACACCATGACACTTCTGCCTCGAAATCTGTCAACTTCCTGTACACAACACTGGGCGTAACATCCATGACGGCGCCTCCACACCCTCACCCTACCATCAGCAAATCAAAGATTAAATCGGGATTCATCACTGAAGACGACTTGATTCCAATTCCTCTGAGTCCATCGTAAGTGTCGCTGTGCCCACAATTGACGTTGAAGTCTGTGTAATTGAGTCAGAATCGGCCCGCAGTATGGCCGTCGTGCTTGAAGGTGAGCAGTTCTCAGACGGTTTCGAACAGTTTGCGCACTTAGTCTACCCCTAAACAGTTCATTTCTGGTTGATGTAGCCGTCAAAAATCGGTTACGGAGGTGACGTAAGACAATCTGACAATCCTCTGCATGTGACATCACACGTGGTCGACCTGGCCGAGGGCAATCAGCGGTGGTACCCATTGCTGTAGACGCGTCTGTAAATCATAAACAGTCCGTCGACTACAACCCATCGTCCTTGCGACTTCAGCTACGGACATTGGCGTCTGCAACATGCCGATGGCACGTTCAGGTTGCACATTTGAAAGGCCGTAAAGACTTTTGATTTCTTGTGTTTTTCTTTATTTGTTAATGACTGCTAACAAGTATGGCTGAAAACACGTGCGGTATTATGGCCACGTGACCAGTTGCACAAAATCTGAATTTTCTTTATTTTAAGACCCATGACGGATGAATTTATTAATTGCATAAAAAGGCTTTGCTCTTTCTGCTTCACTTCTAAAGGAACCATACACATTCAACATCAACTGTTTAACATCTGCTGAGTAGCGCATCTTGTCATTGCATGAACACGGTCACTGTGTAGCACGTGCAGACCGTGCTTGCGCTGTGCCTTCCACGGTTTGTCCCCCCTACGTGTCATGTACACATTTCTATACAAAATTACATGATAGTTTCTTAAAGAACTTCATCCGTCATGGGTCTTAAAATAAACAAAATTCAGATTTTGTTGGGTACAGGGTATTCATGGTCAAGTACCGTATTGATGTTTCATACACTTTTCTGGAATTCGAATTAATTTGCAATTCATCGTTCTCATTTGGAGTCAAACAGACTGTACACATGAGTAAACATCATCATCATCATTCAAGAACTGCCTCATGTTATGACTAGCAGCCCAGTGGCTTGACAACAACATACCACGCCCGGCTACATCAGCAAAGAGCCGGAGTCACAAGAACAATTAACAATAAACAATTTCTTAGCTATAGCTGTGGATGCCGCAGAGAGTCGGTACAACACTCTGGGCTGTTGGAGAGAGGTCTGCTTGGTATGAGTGTCAAACCCCTTCTGCTTAACATCTTACTTAAATTGGGAATTTAACGTGCACTTTCCGACATGCAAAAGGTGGAAGGGGAACTAAATGAAGTTTGTGTTTTTTATAGGCTTAAAATTTTAGGGTTCATTGGTAGCATGTTTGTTGTACTTTTTTAAATGCGGCCAAGTAGGCCTGTTTTGATTAGATATATGTCTAGTGCTTTAAAGGTTTGTAAATCATTTAGGGGGTTTAGTACCCTTGCTAGTGTCATTTGATTGTTGCAATTTAGTGTGGATTGGAGTGTTGTTCTGTGTTGCTGGTAATGTGTGCAATATAGTATTACGTGTTCAGGTTTTCTTTTAAGTTGCAGTGGGGGCATTTACTGGTTTGGTGGTTTTTAATTTGGTGTAGGTGGGAGGTTTAACTTAGTGTGGCCTGTTTGTAGTTTAGTTATTACTCTGTCAATTTTTTTGGTTTTATGATGGATTTTTTGTTTTTTGAGTGGCTTTTGTAGCAGGTGTTTTAGTTTGCAATCAGATTTCTGATAGTTATTTTGCCACTTTTGGAAGATTTTGTCCTTTGTGTTCTGCGTGTTCGTTGCCAAACACTCCGTGGGCAGGGATCCAAAACTCTTTCTATGTCTTTACCTAGTTTACGTAGATTGTTGGTGCTTTTAATTATCTGTTGTATTAGTTTTGGGTGTTTTTTGTGTTTTGTTTTTTTATGGCCTGGAGCCCAATTAATGAGTCTGAAAGGATTAGGGTTTTTTGGTGTCTATTTATTTGATCGCTGTGCAGGGCTGTTACTATCCCCATTAATTCGGCTGTGAAAATTGATTGATTATTTGGGAGCCTATAAGATCTTGTTTCTTTTGGGGGTTTGAAGATGTGGATTCCGAATCCTGTGCATTTTGAGCCCGGGTCAAAGGACCCATCTGTGTAAATGTGACAATTTTTTGTGGTGGATTTAGCAGTATTTGGATCAGTTTCTTTATTTAGTCTGGTGGAGAGAGATGTGTCGATTTTTTGGTGTTTGGAGTTTGGGTGTGAAGGTGTTATTTGGTGCTGTGTTTAATTGTAAATTATTTAGGTTGTGTGTATTTAGGTAATTTATTATGTGTTGAGAGATTGGTATTAATTGTCTGTTCCTTTTTTTCTATTATTTAGTACATGGAATAGTTCCTCTAGTGTATATTGTTGGTTAATTTCTAGGTTATCATTTTTGGGTAATTTGAAGAATATTTTGATTTTTTAATTGTTTTTGGAATTCCTCAGGGAAGTTACTATTACTACTAATGGCTGAGAAGTGGTCTGCAAGGTTATTTGCTTTTTGTTAAGGGTTTGTTGAGTTATTTAAATAAATGTTTGGTGTTTTTTGTTGTTGTTTGTTTAATCCAATGGATTGCGTGTGTTTTGCGCCATACTGTTCTTGCGTCTGCTTAACATCTTACTTCTCTATCTATTTAACTAATATTTAGAACAAAAAAAAGGAATATGATTGGTTGATACATGATGGGGTGTGCCCTATGGTTAATAATTGGCTAGACAGAGGGGAATACTTAATCCTCTTAATCCTGTTTGACTGGCACTAAAGTACTCATGGAAATGAAAAAAAACCTGTTTTGCTGGATTTAATAATTGACACAAAGCATTACATAGATGTATATACAAAATAACAAAACAACTGGAAAAGTACTAGTCTGGATTTGCTAGTTTTATCTCAGTGCTCAATACAAAATGTATTTTACAGGAGGTAATTTGTAGGCACTTTCAACATTCAAAAATTAAACTAAGTCCAAATTGACATGGCAGAAACAGGCTATAGGCATTATGCAAATTAGCCTGGAAAAAGGTTATCAAAACAACAATAAAAATAACAGCTATGTTTATGTACATAATGATAATGACATGTAAGTTGTTGTTTGAGAAGGGAATATATTACTTTTATGTTCTGATGTTTTGACAATGATACACTATCCCACAATGCCACTCACAAATCACTAACCACTGACAGATCACATGCACGTGGGTTTCAAGCGCCTGTTTTCACCTGTCGTCAAAGTGTCATAGGTCATGGACATTCACCTTGATCTACTAACACCTGGTTATGCTGTTTCACAATAGTCTGTGTTGTTCATATGTTTACACACTTTTACGTGTAAAAAGACATAAAAACCTTTGATACGCTGTATTTGTGCCAAGGCCCAATTAGTACTAATTGAGTTGTTTGAATATTTATATATTTTGTATATTAACTGCATTTATTTAAAATCTGAGATAAAAAAAGAACTTTTTTTTCATTTCCGTGAGTACTTTAATCTTGTTGACATATTTACTGGGTGCTTGTAAAGAGATTAAGGTATCACTTATAGACTAGCTTGTATGGGGGCTTATCCTTAATTAGTCTAAAGTTTTTGCTGAATCTTATTCTAATATAGGTGATGGCAGATTTACTTAAATAAAATAGTTCAAGGTAATCTAAAAAACTATGTAGACATAACTTTTGTCTTATTGATTAGTATGTCTAGGAGATGGGATCTTGTTACCTTAGGTTAGTATTTATGTAAAAGCTTTAAATCTATTAAACTATGTAGACACAACTTTTGTCTTATTGAATAGTATGTCTGGGAGATGGGTTCCCGTTACCTTAGTCTAGCATGTATCTAAAAACTATACTGCTATTTTGTATAAGCATTTTACCTGATTGTATGTATTACCTGCTAAACTATAATTATATGAAATGTTGGCTCTCAAAATGCATATTTAGAAATATGAACTTCTTTTCTGAAGCTGCCAGATTGAGGGAGCTTAACTTTGGCAAGTATGTTTCATTATGATGATACCATATTGTGTGTAATCTTAGTTTTTAGTCAGTATTTATGCAGAAAATATTTGAATGTCAATGCTGACAGCAGCTTTTGTTAAATGGCTGTCTTTGTTGGCATATCAAACTTTGATGTACATATCCATTTGAGCTATATTTTTTTCTGGAACTTTTTTATGTTTCTTAGGTTCATAGTGATTGATGGTGCTATGACTGAAGTGCCACGACCCAGTTTGTACGGAGCATATCATCACATTGAGTTGAGTGAGCCAACTGATATTGTACAAGTGGACAAGACAACAAATAGAAGCAGCCTGAATGATCCCCACAGACAAGTGTATGATGTCGTAGGGCCAGTGTGTGAGAGCACAGATTTCCTTGGCAAAGAACGATTGTTACCAGAGCCACACGAAGGCTGTGGTTTGGCTATATTCGATGTTGGAGCATATTGCAGTAGTATGTCATCGAACTATAATCTTAGGGTGAGTTCACAAAATTTGTCTTTTTCTTTAATAACGGTTATTTTTTGCTGTCTTGAAGTATCTAAAATCATAGCCTGTTTAAACTAGTAATGAATAGGGTTGTTGAAATATGTTTCATACCTATCCTACAGTTGTGAAAGGTCATGGGGTTTATTCAGAGGTCACTGCACTATTGCCATTGTAACTATAGTTCTCTGAACCTATGGAATTGTGGTCGGGGTTCAATATACATATAAATATTGAATAAAACAATTAATATCTACATTTTAACCAATCTGAGGCCTCCATTCCATCGCTATGGTATTTGGATAGTAATGGAAGTGACGTTACATTGTAGGATATCGTAAGATACACCTTATTACTAAATTAAGTTTGATTGATCAGTTAACCAGTTAAAAGGGTCAGGAAGCATAACCTTTATATAAAATGTGCATCAAGCAACCAGGTGGTCGTTGTTGAGAGGGGTTCTAAAAATGATTAGTCATTTCCACATCTGTACATCTTTTTGAGGTTGCATGATTAGAAAACACATTCCGACTCACTTTCATAACCTGGTAAGCGACGCTCTGATTGGATGGATAAAAGGTCGTTCTGACGTGAGCCCCTAATGGGATGTCTTCAGATCTTTGTTTAGCGGTAGCGAGAACTAAGGTCTGATTTTAATGAGATTGTCTGAAGATGGATCCCATTGGCTTGTCTTTTTCCTTTTTAAGAGAACCAGTGATGGTCAGCCAATATAATTGACAGAACAGAATTTATCTGCAAAGGAAAGGCAAAAAGCGTAAACATTTTAAAATGTGAGTTGTTTGTTTCAGCTTCGGCCTTGTGAGGTGATGGTGGATGGCAGCACATGGCATATCATACGCAGACCCGACACATTTGCTGATCTTTTTGAGCCATATGAAGGACACTGGCAATAATTTGTGCAGTTTCCAGTTAGGGTTAGACCAATAAGTTTGCGAAAAACATCACACTTGTCGTTAAACATATATTGGCAAAATTATTCTTGACTTTGGATGAAGGTATGGATGTGATGATATGTGTTTGTTTATAGTTGTCATTTCTACAAATTTTATCTCCCAAATTTACCCTCTTTTAATAATAATACTTATACTAATATTAATAATGTGCATACTTATTATGCCTCAAAGTGAGATTGACCAATAAGAGCAGAACTACTAACCCCATATGAGCCTATATACCATCAGTAGAAATCCAAGATAGTTTTGGATTTTCCAACACCCACCTCACATATTTCACATGAAAATTCTGGTACAGAAAATCATTATTCAACACGGTTTTGTGTTATAATATCATCAATTGTGATGCGCATTAAATTTTAATGAAACCACCTTCGTGACTTTATTAATAAAGATTTTAGAGAAAAAAACTTCAACGGAGGTCACTGAGTTACAAATAGTAACGTCATAGAACATAATATAGGATGACGTCATTAAACAAAAAACAGTGGCCCGCAGATTTCTGATAACATGATAATTCTTTTCATTTTAGCTATAATACTTTACACGTTCACATTAACTGCATTATATATTCTATTGTTAAGGTTTATGTTTACATTAAAGCGTTGTATCGGAAACATATGCACTGGTCCTCCATTGTAAGTTTTCATTTTGACATGACATGTGCAACAAAGATACCAAATAGTGTAAACTTTTCGGCATAATACATTTATTAAGGTGTCTTTAGTTGCTCATGCCTCGCCCAATATTTTTCTGCTCACCTAATATGACACCGTGTACGGCAATCTCATTAAAATCAGATCTAAGTTCTCGCTGCCGCTAAACAAAGATCTGAGGACATTCCATTACGGGTCACGTCAGAATGACCTTTTACAAACTTTGACTTACCACTGAAACAACTAACAAGAAGCCAATTAGAAAGCAGCTTTCTCGAGCTTTACGGCACTTGTTTCAACCATGCGACTTCCATTCCAGACTACGCTTGAAAAATATGTTGACACAGTTTTCGATTAAAATTTTGAAAACTGATCAAACAAACATTCCGGAATGTCTAATATATGGTTGTGATTGTATGGCAGTGCTTACCACGTACTGTGCAACGCCTCCTCAGTTCAAATGTTTATACCACGGAAGCTGATTAGAAAACTCATTCCGACTGTCACTTTCATGATCTGGTAAGCGATGCTTTGATAGGTCGGATGAAAGGTCGTTCTGACGTGACCCGTAATGGGATGTCCTCAGATCTTTGTTTAGCGATAGCGAGAACTAAGATCTGATTTTAATGAGATTGCCGTGTATGGCAACTAAAGACACCATAACTAATATCATCCTGGCAAAATACACATTCTAAAGCATTGTAAGGCTCTATAGTTGAAAACATCTGAAATGGCTTTCCAGCGGTGAATGATAGTTTTCAAATGTGTTTTTTACCTCAAAAAGTGTAGTTATACACAATAGAAATAAAGATGTCTACATCATTATTTTCTATTTGTCTTTTAAGGTCCCAAAGGGGTGCAGGCTAAAATGGCACCTCATCAAAATGTCACTGATTTCTCGGGCGAAAACGGCACCTCTATGATTAATAACAGTGAGTGAGTTTAACGTCGCTTTTAACAGTATTCCAGTTATATCGCGGCGTGTCAGCTTGATGTTGGAGGAAAGCCCGAAGTGATGCAGGTCTCAGATGTTTACCACTTCAGTGAAACCCACGAGCACGGGTATGGTGCTGACAAACCTAGAAACATAATCGGGGCGAACCGGGATTCGAACCCACAATCATAGGTATCTGGCGTGCCCAAGGGACGCAACTCTGCACAGGGAATCGCGGCGCCTTAGACGACTGGGCCACCCGTGCCCCCTATTAATAACAATAAGAATGAGTTATGTAGTAGTATATCTGATTTATTTACATGTTATTTTATGTATTGTCATTTCCTGGTTTCCAGTTATTCACAGATAACTACAGATATTGACATATATACAGTTATTCACAGATAACTACAGATATTAGTAAAATCTAAATATTTTTTACATTTGTATACTTATCCTGCATTACTCCGTATTGCATTTACTGCTGTCTTTGACAGAGAGACGAACTGTGTGAGATCCAGCAGCTGAAGAAAGTTGTTTCCATCTGTCAAGGAAGGAGCGCCCCCTCCCACACAGTCGGCACGTGACCCAGAAGACATGACGTCATGTCAAAACACAAAACTGCTTTAACATAACATCAGAAACTTCGTGGAAGGTAGCGGAGCGCAGTGGGGGCACTTAGGCTTCGTAATGCAGGATAAGTATACAAATGTAAAAAATATTTAGTTTTTACTAAATTTTTTAACTTATCCTGCATTACTCCGTATTGCATCTTTATCAGACGGCACGGCCGGTGGGGATACCGGCAACAATGCAGTTTACCGGGCGCAGCCCGAGCTCTACCATCCGCTCAATTACCGCGCTATAGCGCCACCGCTGCTTCGTTATACCGTTACCGTGCCTCACGCTCTGGTGACTCTCGCTTCACGATCCAACACCCGTTTTCGGTCTTAGGGAAACTTACACGTCTTTACAATCAAACACCCGTTCTCGGTCTTAGGGAAACTTACACATCTTTACGATCAAACACCCGTTCTAGGTCTTAGGGAAACTTACACAACTTTACGATCCAACACCCGTTTTTCGGTCTCAGGGAAACTTACACGTCTTTATGATCCAAAACCCCTTTTCGGTCATTAGGGTCAGCTGGCTTTGGGCAAGGGTTAGCCATAAATTCTTACCTTTTCAAGCGTTAATCCGGCTAATCCCATTGGTCGGTCATGTTGACATAAACAATTGCGGGTGTGGTTTCAAGAAAAGATGAATGGGAGAGCGGGCAGTGACGTCACACGCATGCGCAATTAATTGTTTACTTCAGATACCTTCAGATGTGAGCCAGAAGAAAACCCTCGACAAAGGTCCGATGAAACTGCACCGCATGTACAAGAGATGACCGGAACACCAGCGACCATTCCCGTCGAAGGAAACGAGAGTCGATGCAAAAGAGGGAACCCGAAATAGGTGACAGAAATAGTATGAGGCGGGAAAGCCAAAACTAGAACTGACCTAAGAGCGAATGCGGAACGCAGTAGAGCCCTCTAATCTGGGTTGATAAACACCAGAGTGTTCGATGGGCCCCGCTGAGGGTAACGAAGAATCAGTGGCGTTGGGGGTTGGTGACATGTTGAGCTACCACCAGGGGACCAAAGATATGAACGCCGGTGACATCTTCCAAGGCTACATCATGAAGGTAGTGGCTGGCAAAACCGGTGTCGGATCGCCCAAAACAGCCTTCCATGATTGATTTGAAGGGCCATGGTAGATGCGACCGCCCGAATGAAGCCCAAGATGAACTGCGCCATGAGTCTCGTGTTCGAACCGGACATGAGAGACATCGAGGGCGTGGAGCTCACTAACCTGGGCGGGAGGAGCCAAGGCCAGTAGAAACACCGTCTTCTTCGCTAAGTCGTAAAAGGAAGACGAGTGGAGTGGTTCAAAGGGAGCCTCCCAAAGAGCCTTTAAGACCACATTCAGATCCCACGCAGGCAGTCTGAACTTGGCTTTCTGGTCTTCGAGACGGAACGAGCGCAGCAAGGCCTGAAGTTCGGGAATGTTCGTCATTCTCCAGTCGTCCGGGATGGCAAGAACGGAGTTGATGGCGACCAAGTATGTGGAGATGGTAGAGCCTTTTAATCGACGTGAGCTGCGCAAGTACAGAAGAAACTCAGCTAGGAACTGCGGTGACACTGTCATCGGATCCTGGTGCTTGTCAGAATGCCTGGAACAAGGACCATTTATCATCATATAGTCCCCGTGTTGATGGACTAAAGCAATAGCCTTGGCCGCCCTAGTCGAATAGCCCTTGGCTCCTAGGGCTTTCTGCAGATGTGCCAGGCGGGGCTTGGGTGTGGCAACTGACTGTGTGGGTGGAGCAGAAGGTTGGGCCACGCCGGAAGTTCCAGAGGGTTGTCTCTGGCGATGTTTCGGAGGTCGACAAACCAACTTCTGGCCGGCCACCAAGGCACGACCAAAATCAGTGTCAGGTGTCAAATGGCCTTTATCTTTAGAAGAACCCTTGGAAGGAGAACCGGAGGCGGAAAAGCGTACGCTCTTAATCCCTCCCAGGGAACACTGAAGGCGTCGACTGCTACAGCAGCCGGATCCGGGACCGGCGAGATGTAGGTCGGCAGCTGGCAATTCTGAGATGTGGCGAACAGATCGATGTTTGGAGTGTCGATCGTTTGACAAAGGACAGTGAAGATCTCTGGGCGGAGTTGCCATTCGGTGGGAGCCACCTTGTCTGGTCTGGACAGAGCGTCTGCCAGAACATTCTTGCAACCTGGAATGTGCTGAACAAGGAATTGCAGGTCTTATCGGTCCACCAGGTCAAAGAATCTGAAGGTCTGGTTGAGCAGGGACTGAGAGTGGAGAGTACCCTGATTCCTCAGACACCACACCACGGTGATGTTGTCCGTGGAGATGGTCAACTGGGCGTGACAGAGAATGCTCTGCCAGTGGGAGACGGCCAGGGTGAGAGCTTCGAGTACGAGGTTGTTGCTGTGCCATTGGAGTCGATCTCCACAGCCCTGCAACTGTTTGAGTCCCCAGATGAGCCCCCCAACCCTGTTTGGATGCGTCGAATCAATGTGTTTATCTCTTTTAACACCGTAGGCCGGTTTTCCGGCCAAGAAGCATCGAGTCCCCAGACACCGTAGGCCGGTTTTCCGTCAAAATAGTATATATTTTTATGGACATACCTGTAATATCATTCCTTTATTAAATCTATCACATTTCACAATGTCTGAAATACGTATTCCATTTCAATTTATCATTTTTTATCGATAAATTAAAAAATTATTCACTATTTCCCGCGAGGTTATTGAAAATAAAATTCTCCGACACACTTTTCGACAACGGGTCCACATCGAACATGTCAAAGAGTAAAATAAAGACGTTTTAAACAAATCTTTAAATATATTATACAAAGTAATAAATAAAATCAACAAAAATATATCTAAAAGTAATCAAACTTACATCTAAGTTATTATTTCCATCTTTTCGTGCGATCGCGTGTAATGTAAGTCAAATGACATCTCGGCTTTCGGCGCCTTGAATTCTCGGCTCGGACACGATGTTTAATGCAAAAATATATGCATGAAAAATACACGATACATTCACGAAGTTCCATATTTTTAATATATATCGTGATTTCCTGCTTAAAACACGAGCTTGGTATCACAGCTGTAATTTGATTGGCTGCCTGGGGTCACGTGCTCAAAATTGACCAATCACGAAACTTGTAGCAGATTTCGGCAAGAAAGCGTCATTAGAAACCAATTTTAATCCAATGAAATCGCTTGTTATTACTACGGGAAAAAAAACAGGCGATGTTACGAAAGCGCGATTACGAAATTTCTCTCAGCTAATTTATTGTTCCATTTTACCAGTAGTTAGACATGTAGACAGTGATAGTAATTTCCAATATTACTTGCCTCCGGATAAGTTAAAGTAAGTGATTTTGTTGCCCGACCTCGTATTTCTACTTGCCCCGGGAGTCGGGAAATGGCAAACTTCCACCCCTGCGCGGTCAAGGAGACGCCGCCGCTGACGTTCGATTCCACCGTCCACCATCGGAGGAAGGGGTGGAGGTGAACCTGGAGGACGATGAGGGACTCCGGATCCTGCTGCCGAATGAAGGGAGCGAGAAACCGTTGAATTGGCCGGAGTTGGAGGCGACCTCTGGCAGTCAGGTCTAGAGCCGATGTGAGGAGGCCCAAGAAAACCTGCCATTGGTGGAGAGTTCGAGCCTGCCGGAGGGCAGGGTAGAGGTGAGTGAGGATTTTCAACCACCTGTCCCTGGGTACTTGAAGGAGGTCGTGATCCGTGAGAAACAGGCCCCCGATGAACTGCAGACGGAACGATGGGGTCAGCTCCAACTTCGTCTGATTGACGATCCATCCCAACTGATTGAAGAGCCGCAGGGTAAAATCCCTGTGGTGCAGCAGCAACTTCGAGTCCCGGTTGTTGAGGAGGCAGTCATCGATGTATGGATTGAAGTTGATGTTCCTCAGGTGTAGGTAGGCGGCGACAGGCTTGGTGATCCGTGTGAAAAGCCACGGGGCCATGGAAATTCCAAATGAAGAAATCAAACACTGAAATTCTTCCTTATCTTTCAACAGGTCTTCGTACATGATCATCCATTCAGTGTATTGCGATCTCACTTGCTCAAAGTTATCATAGTCTTTAGTAAGCAGCACCTTGTCAATTTCATTCTCTATCTTGTTTAATTTTGAATAAACTTGTTTAAGTCCATGTATCTTCAAATCAAGGTTATATAAGAGCCCCTTGGTTGTCATTGTTCTTTTTCTAGTTGTAGATTCAACGGTGTGCGTACTCCAATGTGATTCAATATCAATGTCTCTTTCTGTCATTGTTTGCAAATTATTCAAATAACGTCAATGAATAATCTGCAAAACATCAAGCTCAAGGTATAATTTATACAAAATAGAAGTCTATTGCTAATGTGCAATTCATTAATTTGAAGACTAATGTTTCAATAACATCTTCAAAAAGTCAAATAATCATTCAAAATTATTTCATCATAATGCGGTCAAACTGTACTTCAGTTGGACAACACCTCCAAAATGTAAACAAAAGGTCGAGCTATACACCGCTCGGCTCACTACAATCTGTCACAAGCCGTCTTCCCGACGCGGTCGAACTGTGTGTGCTGCACGTGCGAGGCGAGCAATCTGTGCTGGCGGCGAGAGGCGACTGTTTGCTGTCGAGCTGTGCGTTGTTAAAAACGCCAATGTTGTAAATGTGTGGGATGTACCATGTGTGTCCGTCACAAGGTTCAGCCTCCTCTTCAGGGATAACTTCAGCATATCCCTTCTCAAACATTTTCTGCATGAAAGTTACATATTCTTCGTGAAACTTGGAATATCTTGCCATCTTTCACCTCAGTCGTCCAAGCTGTCTGGGGGCTTGATCGTAGTTGTCAGGAAATGTTACATTCTCATCTGAATGGCAGAGCCATTTCGTAATGTCCATTGACAAACATTGATAGATTCTTCTATCCTCCTCAGAAAAAGTTTGTCTTCCTGTGAGTACTGTTTCATATCATCGATTAGTCTCTCAGTCTGTACTTCAGTCTGAAAACGTTCTTGATATTGATAGGCCAATTTACCAGCAAGTCTTCTAATGTTGTCAGTGTTGTTCAAAATGTACAGCATTCTTACATTGAGCTACCTAGCATACCTAGACATAGTATACTCATCAAGAACTTTAGAGTTGTCTGCTCTTATCAAAGGCCAGTCGAGTGCTTTCTTGATGAAGGTGTTCACAATCACATCTTCATGTCCATATCTATCCTCTAACTCATTCATAGTGGCAGGGAATCCAATATTGGCATCAAGGCAAACATAACTGCTTACTATCTTCCTAGCATCACCGGAAGTAATTGGATCTAGGTAGTTAATTCTTTTATCATTGTCCTCAATGTTCAGCAATACCTTTGTCTTGAATTGTCGAATAAACTTCTAATACTGCATGGGATTACCATCAAATACTCCAATATCAAGAACTGGTTTCCTTAGATGACACACAACTTTGTCAATTACATCTTCATCACGCCTGCTTGTACGATAGGATGGGTGTGGGCTTATTTCTGCTGGTGGTGGTTCATGTCTGCAGGCGTGTCTGTATGAAGCAACTGGTGTATCTACATTCATCTGAGGGTTAACATCTTTGTCAATGTCAATATCAAACGCACTTGGTGGAATCTGATTAACGTGTCCATGGTTACCTTCACCTTGGTCACACGAAGAAATGTTGCTTACATCTTCATATTTATTCAATCCCTTGCTCGAGCTTCACTCATTAACTTTTGTCTGTGAATTTCAAGTTTCTCTTCAGCCATTTTGAGTTTCACTTTCCCCAGTTCAATTCTCTCCTTTTCTTCAAGAATTTCTTCGTTTGCTATCAATTCTGCTTTCATTTGTTCTTCTTTTATTCTTGCTGATGAGGTTCTTGACATCGATGACCTTGACTTTTCTGTAACCAACTTGTCTTTTCTTGAAAGTTGAGCAACAGCTGATTTCTGTTTATGTCGATCAAGCTCTTGGAGAAATGTGTTGACATTGTCTGTGAAAGTTTGGAGATGTTTCACTTTGTTATTACAATCATCACCAAATTCAAAGTAATGTTCAGGGATATCATTATATGAAGAAATCAGACACTGAAATTCTTCCTTATCTTTCAACAGGTCTTCGTACATGATCATCCATTCAGTGTATTGCGATCTCACTTGCTCAAAGTTATCATAGTCTTTAGTAAGCAGCACCTTGTCAATTTCATTCTCTTTCTTGTTTAATTTTGAATAAACTTGTTTAAGTCCATGTATCTTCAAATCAAGGTTATATAAGAGCCCCTTGGTTGTCATTGTTCTTTTTCTAGTTGTAGATTCAACGGTGTGCGTACTCCAATGTGATTCAATATCAATGTCTCTTTCTGTCATTGTTTGCAAATTATTCAAATAACGTCAATGAATAATCTGCAAAACATCAAGCTCAAGGTATAATTTATACAAAATAGAAGTCTATTGCTAATGTGCAATTCATTAATTTGAAGACTAATGTTTCAATAACATCTTCAAAAAGTCAAATAATCATTCAAAATTATTTCATCATAATGCGGTCAAACTGTACTTCAGTTGACAACACCTCCAAAATGTAAACAAAAGGTCGAGCTATACACCGCTCGGCTCACTACAATCTGTCACAAGCCGTCTGTAGCGACCAGAACTGGGATACGACCAGAACTGGGATAAACACCATAGAGAATTATATTTGTGGCATGCAACTATGTGTTTGATTGACAAACATTTAATAAGAGCAAAATCATTTGCACTTCTTGTGTTTTGTATTTTTACTCCGTTCTGCAAAGTGCGCCAATGGCAATGCTACTGACTCGATGTCCGACATTTGCAGCTAAATATAGCAGTGTATAAAAGTGGTAATGCGGAACTAAAGCGGAATACAATTTCTTCTTTTTATGCATATCGATCATGACAAAATGCAATTCCTATAAAAATGGTCGTGTTGCTTATTATCTGTAATTACTGCCCATTGCCATGTTTAATTTCTAACCATGATATCACTCCCAAATGTATTATTTAATTGTCTATCATATCATAACCTTTGAGAGGTGGTGACATGTTTAATAACAGAGTAAATTTTCTGTTAAATAGCTATCTTGGCCACTTCTGAACACAGTGTTTCCTACAAAATAGCAAAAGCCAAATGAAAATAAAATTATTCTCTAATTTATGTATTTTAAAGTTGTTATGCCACTCACTGGTGGGGATACAAGCGTAATAATTTAAGTTCCTAGGATGTTTGTGTTATGCAATTTTGCAAGAGTTATGAGAGTTGGACATATTTCTTCTCATACACAGTAAAACAGCAGGTAAATGTCTAGGAATAAATACTCATGACATTGTACAATAGGCCATGATGTTCACAAAATATATGTTGGAGGGTATGTACATCAATATAATAATATTAATTATTTTGAATATAACTAAGTGTGTCATTAAACATCAAACAATGAATACTCAACATGTCAGAGTTGA